TAGCTGGGGTGGGAAGGAGGGATTCAGGAGGGATTCAGGGATAGCTGGGATGGGAAGGAGGGATTCAGGAGGGATTCAGGGATAGCTGGGATGGGAAGGAGGGATTCAGGAGGGATTCAGGGATAGCTGGGGTGGGAGGAGGGATTCAGGAGGGATTCAGGGATAGCTGGGGTGGGAGGAGCCCCCCACGCGTGGACTGTCGTGGTGGGTCTGGGAATGGATCCCCAGGGGGAAGAAATGGCCTTGGGTGGGTGGGAATGGTGGGGGGTGTGGGAGGGAGGAATTCCAGCTGGGAAAGGGTGTGGGATCACAGAGGGGATCAGGGAGGGACCAGCAGCATTCCTGGTGGGAAAGCTGCGGGATGGGGCGGTTCCAGTGCCAGGAGCTGCAATTCCCTGTGGGGACGGAGGAACACACAACGACCTCGCGATCAATAAGCGCGTTCGATTTATTATCTATAAGGCAGTCATTTTATAACGTGTAATAAGCTCATACATATTGCAAAAGCTAAGCTCAGGATTGGTTGGCCTTTAATATTGCTTACATACTGCTGAAGTTATGTCTGGAGTTTTAGTCCCTTTTCTTTATCTTCAGTACCAAATCCTTTTTTAGCCTCTCGGTTTCCCTCCTTGCTACATTCTCTCTGTCACATTCCCATCTTGCTACATTCTCTGTCACGTCGACAACTTCCAAGGACACCATCCTTCAATGCCCCTTCTCTGTTAACCATTCTTGAGCCACACTATCCAGAGACCCCCCCTCCACACCTCCCCCGTTTCCTTTTAGCAAGCTGAGATAGGCATGGGGGAACATGGTATCGAGGGATCGAGCAATACAGCGCTGAACACAAGCAAAAATGCACGGCAAAAGGAATAACAAAAGCAGAACAAAAAAAACAACCGGCAGCAACTGTTTAAGGGCGTCCTTTAACCACCCAGCAATTCCCCAGGAGGCAAACCAGTCATCTAAGCTAGCAGCGCCCACCTTAATGTGATGCAGCCTCTGC